GAGTTGTTCTTATTTTGTCATTTAAATAGTACATTATTTGAGAACTACTCATTTTGTTAGTGCATGATGCTTATGTGCTTATAAGTTTGGTTTTTACTTTTCCACGAACATTCTTGTGGATAATTTATAATGTAAAAGTTTTTTTTTTTTAATTTTTTGTATTATATTTATTGAAAAGTTTTATAATGCTTATGTAAAAGTTTGGTGGTTTTTTTATTTATTTATTTATTTTTATAATAATGCTTATGTGGTTATAAGGTTCCCCCTCCCCCAGTATTTGAGAATTATTTTGTATTGAAAAGTTTTTGAAATAATTTAGTTTTTTTTTATCGGCAAAAAAGAAACTTTATTGATGGAATAAATAAGTACAAGGTACGGAGCAAATTACATCAATAAAGAAAAGAGAAGTGCAAAAGCATCACAATGAACTAAATGATCACAACTAGGTTGGCACCACAAAGCTCATCCTATCATTTGCTAGCACTCCCAAAGTTGGTGAGAGACCAACGAAAATAGTACAGACCAGAGCAACATCAAAACAACCACCCAACTCAGACATTCAGTCAATCATCTGAGACAATACAACCAACCAACCATTGCTAGCACCTAAGCATAACAGACCAGCAGAATAAGACCTCAGCAGAGCAACAGACAGGGCCATAAAGACAGACTACAGCATCTGATGCAGGACACACCAGAGAGCACCAATTTAGATCAAAATGCAGAACTAGAACACAGCCCAGAAACAACCTCATTTTGAAGTCCTTGTGCTCATTATGCTGGCATAATCTCCACAGCAGAACATCAATAGATAGAAGCTCTAAACTCCAAGCAACCTAACCAAGCTTCACCTAGCTCAAAACACCAAAGCCCCTCCCAGGCACAGCCTAATCAAAACTAGTTGACAAAAGCAAAACAGATCAAGACATCAATCCAAATATATAGCAGCAAAGTCCACCACAAGGTAAGTACTGCCCATTATCAGTAGCCCATCTTTACCAATGCCAGCCAAATGCTTCTGTCCCTAATAGCTACGGATGGTGGAAATACTGCAACCTTTCTAGTCACAATCTCAATAAGCTTGTTGGCTATTGTACTAACATACATTGATGATCCTTCACATATCACAAACACCAACACAAATATACAGAGCAAAAAATAACTAAAATACAACAATATACAACTAATAGCCCCTGCAACCTTAGCACAGATCCCAGCATCATACCAGCATAAATAAATAAAGCAGAACACACAGCAGCCAGAGCAGAATAGCAAATTAGCAGTAGTTGATTACACTGGTAACCAACAACACAACAAGCAAAGCAAACCAAAATAGAAAAGCGAGACCAAACAGATATACACCACACATGTTGTATCTTGGTCACAACCTAAACCAAGATACAACTAATAGCCCCTACAACCTTAGCACAGATCCCAGCATCATACAAGTAAAGATAAACAAAGCAAAAGTTGTACAGCAGCCAGAGTAAAATAGCAGATTTGCAGTAGCTGATTACACAAGTAACCAGCAACATAGCAAACTAGAACACATTGTCTCCAACAGATCCAGAACACAGCAAACCAAAAGCCAAATCAGAAGCAAAGCAAACCAAAGTAGGAGAGCCAGACCAGACAAATATACACCACAACCAGCCAAGTAAAGAAGCAACAGAGGTAGTAACCAATCAATCTTCAGCCAATCCTTCAACCACATGGCCACTCTAATTTTTGTTTACTCACACAAATCTACAACAGCAGGTTGAGTATTGTTGAATATATATGCAATCATTTCTGTATGTCCACAAGGACCAAACACAAGAAATGAAAACCACTCTCCAAACTAGCTTTTTCTTTTTCCTGACCTTCCACTCCAACCATCATTGCATCAACTCTTCAAAAAATCCCGGTATCACCCATTGAATTCCCCACAAATCCATAATATTAGACCAAACATGCCACACAAAAGAACAAGACAGAAGAAGGTGATTAGAAGATTCCACCTCAGCTTTGCACAACATATAGGGCATAATCCCAGAACCAGACAACACTTCAATACTACTAAGGAGGACAGATGTTTTAAGCCTACCTTTCCATGCAAGCCAAGTAATAAATTTAGCCTTAGGAGGGGCAAAGTTATGCCAAACCAGATTTGATGAGCTGAGAACAAGACCAACACTATGCTTATACCAGTTATACACACCTTCAACTATAAATAACCTTGACTGCTCAGCTTTCTATCTTGTTGAGTCCTTTTGATTCAGATGAATGCAAGGCCTTGCTCCCAACATATTTTGCATCCTTAACATCTCATCTTCTTCCCAACCAAATAGAGGCCTTCTAAAATTAAAACACCATCTATTTGTACTATTTCCACAAGAGATTCAGCTGGTACAACCTAGGGAATTGGGATTTAAGGCTTGATGATCCCATCCAAACATCAACCCAGAACTTCACCCTATTGCCATCACCAATCCTAATCTCCACATTTTCCATAAAGAAGTTATACTGTAACGCCCCAAATTTCTAACCCAAATGATAATGCAACAATCATGGCTTTCTTAAAGGAAAACCAAATATAACTTCCCATACTTGCATTACATAATAATAATAGTTCCTCATGTGATATTACCTTGATTCAACAACAAGTAAATAACCAAATAAGCACCTTCAAGGGTTTACAATCTTCCAAGGCTTAAGCCTGGTACATAAAATGGTTATTCAAACCCACACATACATAGCCCTTGGCTTACAAATAGGATCACAGCAAATGACAACTTTAGTGCTCTCAACACACACATTTCCACGCCCTCAAATAGACGGATTCACCACGTCTTTTTCTGCACAAAAATCCGATAGGATGAGCATAAAGCCTAGTAAGAAATCCTTAACAAAGTATATACATTTTATACAAGTCTCAAGAGATGAATGCACATGCCATGCCATGCCTTTTTGAAAATAAAACACATCTTTATCTTTTGAAAATCATCATGCTCAATGATGTTATACAACTTCAATTGTTCAAAATTTACCAATTTAATTAAAAGGGGTGGTAAATACAATTCTGGTAATCCCTAGGTCGGTGTTTGCAAGTAGACTATACGAGTATTACCAATTGTCATTTTTACCGGTATTAACAGAAAGGCTCGACACCTATCCGCGCGACTTTCTGGTCTTTCACCAAGGACACTCAGGCCAACTTAAACAATTTCATCTACACCACCTATCAAGACTTACCACCGTATTTACCTCAAAACCATTTCATGAAAACCTATTTCTCAACATTCTTTTCCCAATGCAAATTTCCAAAGCTTAACATAGTCCAATGAATTGAAATGCCAATGTATGCTTAATAATGCAATGCAACATTACTTCCATATTCAATTGTTTCACACAATATACCATTGTGATCAAAATTCCCAATCCTCTTTTCAACACAATTCCATAAGATGAATATATATATATATATATATACTTTTATATCCAATTCATTCAAGAGAATAACGTAACTCCCACATTTCGAGCAATTTTAACAATTTAGTCAATTCAAGACTAAATCAACATTTTGACAACAATTTCCAAAATAAACAAGATTTCTCATTTTTTTTCCACAAAATTCGTCATTTATATATAAATAAACGATTTTCAAAACATCCATTTATTTTGGTACACAAAATAAATATGACAACAACTTCTAAGGATTTTCAACATCTTTCCAAGAAAAGACCCAATTTTTAGGTTTTCTCACCAAAACCATTCATCTCCAAAATATTTAGAAGAATCTTCCCAAAATCATCTTTCTTCAATCAATATGGTTCAAAACCTTCAATTTCTATTTTAAAAGGAAAAGAAATTAAATCCTCTTTCAAAATCATTCATCTTCTTGAAATCAACAATCGATTTCTCAAAGCTAATCAAAGGATGATTTCGAAAATCATCTAGATCTTGCAAAAACATATATATAACTCTAAGAAAATCCATACCTCAAGTTTTGAAGAAGAAATGAGATGAAACCCCCAAAATCAACGGTGTCGAAACTCAATCTTTATCGCACACAACGAAACCCTCGAGATGATAACCAACTTTGGTGAAGAACTTAGGTCTAAATTCCAATAGATTTAGAGAAATCAAAGAGAGAAGATGACTTCTAGAGAGAGAAACTCATGATCTGGAATTCTGGAGAGTTTTAGAGAGAGAGAGGACTAAAAAGTGATATGAAATATCAGATTCACAAACTGATATAACATGGTCTGCTCGAGCGTGGAATGCCCCTCTCGAGCGTCAAATACACTAACCCAGTACTTTTGCAAACAGGTCAAACTTCTTAAACTAAACATTCTCCGCTCGAGCACATAAACGGCCGCTCGAGCGGACAAGCAACTTCGAATGCATTTTGCATTTTTGTTTTGGGGGCACTGTCCCTCAATCTCGCCAGAGCGCTGCCCTTGGACCCGCCAAGGGGCGCTGCCCCCTGGACCCCCGCGAGCTGACCGGGCAGCTCGACTCCTGGACGACCCAGTTGAAGTGGCAAAACATGAAAAAAGGATCGAAACCGGGATCGCTACATATACAACCTAGGATTTGAATTGGGAACAACAGTCACATCTCTCCAGATAACAGAAACATGATCAAGATCATTTACTGTAGGGAACCACCGACCCCCAGAAACACCATATTTGGCACATATCACAGTTTTCCACAAAAGCCTCATCTTCCAAGGCATATCTCCACTACCACTTAAGCAACAAGCACTCATTAGTCACTCTAATATCTCTTATTCCAAGACCCCGTTGATTCTTTTTCAGCTGCACATCTTTCCATTTTACCAAATGGATCTTCTTTTTAGCTTCATCCATTCCCCATAGGAATCTAGCTTAAATCTTATCAATTTCTTTAGCAACACACTCGGGTATCTTAAACAAAGACATATAATATATAGGTAAGGAGGACAAAACAAATTTAATCAGAGTGACTCTTCCCACATAAGAAAGCAATCTTCTCTTCTAACCAGATAATTTCTTTTTAAATCTATCCAGCATTAGCTGCCAGGCTTGTTTCCTACCTGGGTTGGCACCAAGAGGCATCCCAAGATACTTTAATGGAAGCTTCTGACTCAGACAGTTGAGTTTGGCTGCAAACTCTTCAACCAACCCATCATCCACTCCCACACCACAAATCAAGCTTTTATGAAAATTTATCTTCAACCCCGAGATCACTTCAAAACATCTCAAAATGCGTTTCATAGCCACAATCTCAACCCATTCAGCCTCACAAAATAGAATAGTGTCGTCAGCGAACTGTAGATAAGATATGTTAACCTCCCTATCACCCACTACCACTCCTTTTATGATTCCCAGCTGCTTAGCTCTTCTCAACAATATGTTTAGCCCTTCCGTAACAACATTAAACAAGAAAGGGAAAAGTGGATCGCCCTGTCTTAGCCTTTTTTGTGGACAAAATTCAACGGATGGTGAGCCATTGACCAAAACAGAGATTCTAGTAGATTCCAAACATTCTTTCATCCAACTAATCCATCTTGGTCCAAACCCAAAACTAGACAACATCTGCAACAAACAATTCCAGTTAACAGTGTCATATGCTTTCTGAAAATCCAATTTGAGAATGAGGCCCTTCTTCTTTGATTTTTTTCCACCAATCCACTATCTCATTTGCTATTAACACACCATCCAGAATATTTCTTCCCCCCCACAAAAGCAAACTGAACCTTATCAATCACACTCGGTAAGACTAGTTTGATTCTATTGGCCAAAACTTTGGACAATACTTTATAAGGAGAATTTATCAAGCTAATAGGACGGTAATCAATAAGAGAGTTAGGATTATCCTTCTTGGGGATAAGAGTAACAAAAGAGCAATTTACCCCATAACCCAATTTACTATTACTATAAAACTCCTTCATGAACTTCATGATGTCACCTTTCAAAAACTTCCAGCTTTTTTGAAAAAACAGCATATTGAACCCATCAGGGCCTGGGGCTTTGTTACCGTCACATTCTTTTATAGCAGCCCACATTTCTTCCTTTGTAAATTCTCTCTCCAGGCTATCAACGGCTTGGTTATCCTCAATCTTCTTGAACTCTCCTCCAATGCTTGGCCAATACCTCCGTTGTTTAGTGAATAAATTCTGGAAATGATGACAAACTGCTTGTTTGACCTCACTAGGTTCTCCAACCTCAACCCCATTAACTTCAATAGAGGCAATCAAGTTTCTGTTATGTCTCTTAGTAGCCATAATATGGAAAAATTTAGTATTTCTGTCCCCCTTAAGGGCCCAATCCAACCTAGATTTTTGCACCCATATCAACCTAAATAATTTAGTTTTTTTAGTTTGTTTATTATTTATTATTTAGGTTCACCTTGAGGGTAATTTGGGAAAAATAATAAGGTGTAATGAGAGTAAAATAAAATTTTAAATAATTAAATAGGGTGTACTTAAAAATTGGGAGTACTTAATGATTTTTTGGGTGTAAATAGAATCCCCCATACTATTGAATGATCTAATGGAGCCTTTCTCTTACAAATGTGCAATAGAGAGGATCACAATTTTTTTTTTATCAGGAAAAAAAGAGACTTTATTGATGAAATCAATACACATTACGGCTTTGTTTATTTTGACATAAAATATTTGACACAAAAAAAATATTTATCTTGTAAATTGATTTTACACAAAAAAAATATTTTTGTTTTTGTTTTTGTTTTTCGGCGTTTCTGACACTTGAAACAAAAATATTTTATTGTCTAAAAGAGAAATTTTGATTCAATAAAGTGTCATTTAAGACTTTTTAGTGAGTTAAGATATTTATTTGAAAAAACTAAATGTGTTAAAAATATAGTGAGTGAGAGCCAACTTTGTAAAAATTGACTTATGGAAATTTTAAAGATAAGCCATTTTAAAAAAAAATGATACAAAAATATTTTACTTGCTTTTTATTCAACTAAACTGACGAAAATATTTTACATCAAAATAAATAGAGTCTACATGTGAAATTATATCAATAAAAAAGAAGACAAAAGCAAAAGAGAGGATCACAAATATATCAGAACAAATAAAAAAAAGTGGATACTTAACAAAATAACAAACAAACCATTTCAAAACAGTGAAATCATTTAACAAAATAACAAACAATCCATTACAAAACATTGAAAACATTTTAAAAATCATATATATATAGAGAGTAGCTGGAAAATATAAATCATAAACCTTTGTAACGTCTTTTTAGAGTGTGAGTTTTAATACCATTTAATTTTAATTTTAATTCAAATTGTTAGATTACATAACTTGTTGATGTGCCTTGTTGTATAAAAAAATACAATAAAATCATTACACGAAAACGACGAGAAAGAAACCGAACTCAAAAAATATTAGAATAAGTTAGAAATTAAAGAGATTTCAAGGAATAAAATAAAATTGTTTAGATTATGAGACCAAATCAAATTTACTTGATTTTATACTAATATATTATAAATATTTTTTTAAAAAAATATCCACAACTGAAACAGTGTATAAAATTCAAATCCAGCTACGCTCAATGCAAGAAAAATATGTGGTTCTATATGATTATAAGCATTACAATCTTCTGAAAGAGAGAGATTTGATATTGCTTGTTTCAATTAATTTATTTAGCTTCGTAAAAGATGCAGAAATATATATATATATATATATATATTAAAAGATGTGCACACTCATATTTATTAAAAGATGTGCACACTCTATCATGAAAATAAATTATTTGAATGCAGGAGAGAAAAATGACTTTTTTTTTTTAAGCTTAAAACTCAATTAAAATCAAAATCTAAAATAGCTAGATAGAGTTAGTTATCTTGAGGTAATTTGGGATTTGAATTTTTTTTTTTTGACAATTCATATCAATTCAGATATACCTTTTATGTAACAAAATATAAAATATAATAAGTATTGATATTATACTATGAAAAATGCTTGATAGCTCGAGATTGTGTGGTCTGAATGGTTTGCATGTATCAAAATGACGTCGTTTTGAGACATTCAAGCTATTCAAGTCATGAAAATTCAGACTACCAAGTATTGTTGTAAACTTGTAGAGTAAAAGCAAGTGCATATCCGATGTACCTAAAAAAGAAAGCAAATGCATATCCTAGCTGAGCTCATTGTGATTGCACCGAGCTTTTTCGGCATTTAAGAATAATAACACTATTTTAAAGAGATTTTTTTTTAAAATTTTGATATTATTTTATTACATGATTATCATCCAAATACATAATAAAAATTAATTTAGTAATAAATAAATAAATAAATAAGTATTTAAAAGATTTATCAATTTTATATAATTTTATTTTTGGTAGGTAGAAATAATTTTTTAAAATTCAAAAATATTTTTTTGACATTTATTTTTGTCAAATTAATTTATATTTTATCAAAATGATGAATTTGTCTTTAAAATTGAATAATAGTATTTTTAATTGTCTTTATTTAAAATATAGTTTAAAATTCAAAATTAAATATGTTATAATTAAAAAATTAAAAATCAAAATAATACAAACCCTAAACTACAAAAACCGTTAATATAATTCACCCTAAAAACAAAACATCCTGCTGTAACTTAATCAGAGCATGATCCCTTGGTCCATTAAACTGTGATCCCTTGGTCAATTAAAGTAGGAGTTGGGGTCACTGTTGTGCTGAAGGCATTTACTGTTGTACCTCAATTTGAGGTACATTATGGATTTATTTTTATGATCTGAACTGTTCATTTTGTAGGGTTTATTGAGTGCTTCATACCTACCAAAAATCATATAATTATTGATATCCGATTAATATGATTTTTTTATAGGCATAAAATATTTAATAAATTCTACAAAATGAACAGTTCAAACAAAAATAAACCCATAATATATATCAAATTGAAGCACACAGCAATGACCCTTCCTCCATTAAAGTGGCGCACAACCCGTTCACTAGAAAAAGGTTAGTTAAGAATTAAAAAAGTTGTGACGGAGTGGATTCAAACATGATGAACCTTGTGCTCATTATTTTTATTTTTTGAGGACTTTATATAATAGTATAATATAAATACTTATTATATTTTATATTTTATTATATAAAAGGTAGATCTGAATTGATATGGATTGTCAATTTTTTTTTTCAAATCCCAAATTATCTCGAGATAACTAACTCTATGTAGTTATTTTAGATTTTGATTTTAATTTAGTTTTAAACTATAAAAAAAAAGGACCATTTACATATAAGTCCTAGTTTGTGAACTTATACTCCATTAAATCCTAAATAAAATTATTTACTCGTTCAACTCCCATTGATTTTTAATAAACCAAATTATCCTTCCAACAAACTCCAGGCGAGCTGTCTCGATATCGCTTTCCCTCTCCTTTCTGTCCTCAAGTCCTCTATCGACGTCCTTGATGGAGCTTCGTTGCAAGAAATCCAGCTCCGTCACCAGAATCACCGCCTCCTTCCCCTACTCAGATCTGCGGTGTCGTCATCGTCGTCGATGAAGATGAAGAACTCAAATCCGCGAGTGACTCATGTGTGAGGTTGAGGTTGTTGTTGATCTCTCTCTGAACAGATCTACCTCACTTTATCGCTGCCAATCTGCCTCGTCACCACCTGAAATTCAAGGTCTGTGGGAGGGTTGGGTGAAGAATTGGGCGGATCTGCGGCTGTTGCTTATGAGAGTCCACCAGAAGATGAGGACTCAGAGCCGGCATCGGAGACTCGTCCAGAAGGCGATGAGTCCATTGATTGTGAGGCTTCGATTTTCACTGAGTTCAACATTCACTGTGATGAGATTGATCTTTAGTTTGATTTGAGTGATTAGTGTGTTTGTTGTTGAGATGAATCCATTGTGCTGCATTGGTCTGAGGTTTTTTGAAATTGAGAACCTTCTCAGTTTATAATATTCTCAATTTTAATCATGAAAAAAATTGAGAAATTTCTCAAAATTGATAATTATAAATTTCTTAGTTTTGATAATATTCTCAGTTCATACTAGAAAAAAATCGAGAAATTTCTTAGTTTTGATAATTATAAATTGAGAACATTCTCAGTTTTGAAATTGAGGACATTCTCAGTTTTGGGATTAAAGGGCAAAACGTCTTTTTACCTGTAAATGGGACTTACTGGTTCAAAAACTTTTTGACAGGACCTAAGCTACCACCAAATATGTAGATAGAACTTTTAGGTAATTAATCCTTAAAAAAAAAGAGTAATTTTTCTTTCTTGTATTCAAATAATTGATTTTCATAATATATGGAGTGTACACATCTTTTAATATATATATATATATATATATATATTTCTGCATCCTTTACAAAGCTAAATAAATTAATTGGAACAAACAATATCAAATCTCTCTCTCGTTCAGAAGATTGTAATGCTTATAATCATATAGAACCACATATTTTTCTTGCATTCAGCGTAGCTAGATTTGAATTTTATACTGTTTGAGGGGTTGACCATTTTTTTTTTAATATTTATAATATATTAGTATAAAATCAAGTAAATTTGATTTGGTCTCATAATCTAAATAATTTTATTTTATTCCTTGAAATCTTTTTAATTTCTTACTTATTCTAATATTTTTTGAGTTCGGTTTTTTTGCTGACGTTTTCGTATAATGATTTTATTGTATTTTTTAACACAAAAAGACACATAAAAAAATTTGAATTAAAATTGAAATAAAATGGTATTAAAACCCAACTCGGGTTGGGGGCTGCTATGCAGTGAAGTAGGCCCATCTCGGAATCTATTTCAATAATTCGAATCGTTCACATTTTAGAATATATAAGTAGAACATGTCTGCGAAAAATTAAATTAATCGGATATCATTTACCCATTCATTCAATTACATTTGTTTTTAGAATGGGTGCTTCACATGAATACAAAATTTCGTATTGCCACTTCTTGTTTGCCTTAGTTACAGCCTTTTCCATCTCCCAACTATCACGTATGTTTTTAGAATAGGTGCTTCACAGTGTCAATTCAGAACAAGGTGCTTGTGAAGGAGCTTGCTCAGACTCTGGAGAGACAGTTTGCTGGATATGCTGAATCTCGAGCTGTAGGCATGGTAATCAATACCATGGAATGGATAGAGGGTCTTGGTTATAAGGTAACTGAGTTTGAAGCTTCGATTGACAAAATGCTTGTCATATTATAATGTCGGGTTGCTTCAATTAGAATTTTTTTGGGGGGGATATGTTGTTAAGTAGGCATTGTCTTTGCATTTTGCTGCAGTTGCT